AATACAACATTGTATGCAAACTATCAATTATTTAGTACCTAAATGGTTATTGATTCTATATGAAAGGTAGACTTATATTGTGTGACAGAACTTTTAGTGGCCCCAGAAGACTTCAAATTGTAGAAAAATTTTGCTTTGGGGAACAGCACTTTCTTGTCATGCTGGGATTATCCGAAACTTTTGCCGAGCTCTTAGTTCTAAAGTAAATTTAAACATTGTTCAGTGTTACTGTCAATTCGTTGATCCATTTATGTATGCCCATATGGTTTCCAATTGTGAATTTAAACATTGTTCAGAGTTACTGTCAATTAGTTGATCCATTTATGTATGCCCATATGGTTTCCAACTGTGAAATTCTATGAAAAATTTATCTTTATTCAGGGCTTCAAATTCTAAATTGTTTGTCTGAAAGAAAATAAAATACTAGAATCATGTGACGGTGGATGGGAATGATGCTTTAGGCTTAATCCTTGAGGGGGTGGCAATACACCTAAGAAATTATTCCATTGAAGGATTCTCCTGTGGATCCAAGAATAGCCGACATGGACTAAATGTAGCTTAATTAATTTAATGTGAATCCATCTACACTCGAATGGAGGCATAGGTTTCTTAAACTGTCTAGGATTACCAATTGAGTTTTGATAGGTGATGTAAGATGTTTAGTGCCTAATATTCACAAGCCACATCCTGTGGCTACTGTTGTCTACCACAATGCTCCCAGTCCAAGCAATATTACTTCTGGAGAAAAATCAATGTTTATGCTGATACCACAGAAATTAGACCGGTCTTCTTTCATCTTTGTTACATGTATGAAAATGAACACTTCATATTATATTGTGCTTTCTATGAACAACAGTTTTTTGGGTTGAGTTTCTAAAACGTGTCATGCATGTCCGTATGTAGATACATGCATTTTCAGTACTAATACCTGTTTACTGTCATTTAGTTGCAAATTTTGATTGGAAGGTTGGAAACTCCAAGCTTTAAACTGTCAGGCATCATCCTATTTATCTCCATTGGTATATTACTAACAGGTATATATGGTAGCTCTAGCTTTCACGCCTTTAATTTAGATTTTGATTTGCATTGATTGTTATGAAAAATGAAGACTATCAGTGTAATTCTCATTACTGGACAAACAATGAAACACCCTTGAAAACGTGTGCATCTTGGTCAAACCAAATGCACCATAACACTGGTAAGGGTGTACATTGCCTGTGTTGTGCCCTACTTAATTTACCAAACTCTTTATAACTCGTCAAAAGAAATCATTCCAAGGTCGGAGTGTTCTTGGTCATTCTCAAATTGGTTCTAAATGTTGGTTTTATGCAATAAATACCTGGGCAAGTGGTCAAATATGGACAGTGAACTGTTTGACGTTCATGTGAGGAATGCTGCTTTTTTATTCCATCATAAAAGTTATTATTTTATAGGGTTAATGCCATTGTTAGTCCTTAAAGTTCGATTGAATTTTGGTTTTGGTCCCTATAGTTTTATAATTTTTCAATTTGAGTTTAACGAATGGTTTTCATACTTTTAACACGACCCGGTTTTGTTACCTATACTTATACGCAATTAAGTCCTTATGATACTATGGGGATCAAAGTTTTTATGAAACTATAGGGATCAAAACTAATGATTTGAAGCTAAAGCAATCAAAACCAAAATCGGATCAAACTGTAAGGACCAACAATGATATTTTATACATCTGCACAATGTTTTTTCTTTTTCCTTTTTTCTTTTTCCTTTCTTCAGTTGCTAAGTACATTTTTTAAGCCTTAGGAACTTTTGCACGCTGAGAAATTCGTATGTCCATCTGAAATACAATTCCCTTGAAATGCAGTTGCAAAAGAGACAGAATTTGAATTTTGAGGATTCGTACTTGTTATGCTTGCTGCTGTTATGTCTGGGTTTCGTTGGTGCATGACTCAGATTCTTCTGCAAGTTCACATTTAGTTTCTGATTTCTTTTTTAATATCAATTTTCTTATTTTGCGCACTCATTTTTTCTGCCCTTAACAATTATTCTTACTCCATTTTGCTGACTTGGTCTTAGTTCTCTTCATGCAATTTGACACCAAACCAATGCTAAAGAAAGAAGCCTATGATAAGTGTCCGGAATAGCTCCGCAGTAATTGTTTTTAAGGAAAATATTTTTGTAGATTTATGCAATATTTTGATGGGAAGTGAGTAGTCTCACTTAATCATGACTATTTTTAACTCATTCAATGATATATTTTTGGTATTTTCGGCGACTTGACATGAATATGCGCCAGTTCAAGTTCTCATTTTTTATGAAATCAATTCATAGAGATAGGAAGTACGTAACTATAGGAAGTACATAGCAAGAGTGAAAATCTGTCCTTTGTGTAATTTGTATAGCAGCACCAGTAGATACCCTTTATTTCAAATCTCCAAGGAGCTGGAGAAGCAAAATCGCTCTTGTACCATAAGGGAAGTGAGGGGAGAAATCTTAGGCTGAAAAAGGTTATGCAACTATGCTCCACTGAGTCACATCACATGCAAAGGAAACAAAAAATAAATAAATGACAACAATCCCAAAGCACCTTGCTGTCCTCTTGTAGGTGGGCACATAGGTTCAGTGCTTTCTAAATTAGCTACTATTTTTTTGAAGGGTTGCTGAAGAATCTGTTTGCCGTTTTTGGAAACAATGATTTTTTTGGTCCCATAACTAGGTGATGATGTAAAATTGAGGAAACAAAATTTGATAGGGATATACCTTAGTGTTTGTTAGGATTACGATTTTTGAAAACTAATGACTATTATATCTCTTTGTGAAATTGTGGAACCATATGTTGTCCCTTTTATTAGTTATTCTTTGATGACCTTATTTAAATGCTCCCTCTGCTAAATTTAATTAAATTTTGGTATTCTTAAGTCAAGTTTACCTGCAAAGTCTTCTCTTAAATTGGAAATATTTTTTTTTTGGAAGATTGGCATCACTGACAAGCCTTGGACATCTTAAACTAGCCATGTAAGAAGAAAGAATGGTCATTCTGATTTTATTATTTTCTTAATTTTTCTTGGAAGATGATGTGGGACCTTTGCATGCATTCACTACCATTTGACATATCACTGCCCAATAGAAACCGTGTACCTAAAGACAACCCTTGAAGTCGTATGTCTTAGCACAAGGTTAGAGTTCTAGCTTTTCTTAAGTAGTATCTCACTAATGGCTTAAGCCTCTTTGAGAGGAGGCCTTTTTCGCCTATTGTGCTGGAAAGGCCTAAAGCCAATCCTAGGTAACAGTAAAGCTTCATAAGGTCTTCTTGTTCAAGTGCAGTTAGTTTGCATCTTCATTGCCATGTCTGTTTTACTGAGCTGCCTCTAAGACAGTGACCAAACTGTTGCGCATTTCAGGTAGGTTGGAACTTACTTGACAAAGAATTATCGCAACCTTTGGTCCATTAAAGTTACAGCTCCCATTCATTGAGGCTTTCGTTGCTTAATATAGATTGTCATCCCACGCAAATAATAACTGAGAAAATTTCTATAATTACAACATGGGTTAAAAATAATATTTGATGTTATGGATGGTATTCCTGTTAAGAGAGGTTGTTGAATGAGTCAGAAGTTTTGTTGAGACTAAAGTTTCTTTAATGGTCTTTCTCCATGGACTAGATCTAGGCGGACTGCTAGATTCTTACTTTTAAACCAACATTTAACCATTCATCATACTTTATGCTCTAGAGCATAGCATACCATGCACTGACCTTGGGCATGTGTGAGCTTATCTCTGGCTTCTGACCTATTTTAGTATTTTTTCTATTTTTATCTTCTTTGAATACTCTTTCTTCATTATAGTTTTTCCTCTAACGTTGTTCATTTTCTATTGAGAGATTTAAAAGATCTATACCTTTTTAATGAAATGCTGATAATTTTTCCAAAATAATTTCAGGGATAAAAAATCCGCCTACCTTGATGAGCTATGTAACTCCAGTAATGGCAGGGGCAACTGCTCTTCTCTCTCTTACATCGGATCCATGGGGGAAATTCAGGCAAAACGAATATTTTAATAGTCCATGGCATATTAGTCAGAGCTGTTTACTAATGCTTTTAGGTGGTGAACTTGCTTTTCTTTTGGTAAGAGTAAATCTTCCCTTTCCTAGGACATGACACTACAATATTTGTTGTTTGACTTTCTGCTTGTTTGATGTTTAAGCTTTCAATTTTTTCCTCTTGTCAAATCAATTTTCAAACGTGGATCTCTTTTTTACAGGTATTAACAGAGTATGTCCTTGTCTCAGTAACTAGTGCCGTCACATTTACAATAGCTGGGGTTGTTAAGGAGGCTGTCACCATATTGGTGTCATTTTTTCACCTTTCCTATGCCAGTTTGTTGACATGAACATCCAGTGGCTACCATCCTTTATTTTGGTCCGCCTCCTATTTCTAAAGAACCTAGTTAAGTCGTCACTCTTGTGGTGATGTCATTCATGACTCATGAAAAAAATTACTTAAGAAGGCTTCCAAATTACTTGACACAGATTGTCCATTATAATTTGATTAGTTTCTAGGTTGTTGTATTCAGCTTTCTATAATATTGAGTTGATTGTTTCTGCATTTGCTGATTTGTCGGTGTGGTGGGTTTTAACAGGTTTTTCTATACGACTGCACCGTATCTGCACGCAAATGGCTCATGCTGTTATCTATTTTTCTACTCATTGAAGTACTTAGATACACAATTAAATTTGATTTTTTTTAAGTTGTTAAATTTTTGTCATATATGTTTAATTTTCATGTTCGTGTAGGTTGTTGTCCTGTACTTTCACAATCAATTTACTTGGTTGAAAGGAGTTGGTCTCTTCACTATCGTTGTTGGTTTTAGTTTACTCAATTGGTGCAAGTAAGTCATAAGCTAATGCACTTCTCAACAATTTATTTTGGTATCTGGTCATACTTTCCTTCCCTCTTAATTTAATTTAGAGCTTTGAACTTCAAGGATGGTGATGGTCATGCTCTCTTTATTTTGAATGGAAGATATTGGAAGCTTCAGAAGGGTGAAGCAGGTGAAGAGCATGTGGGTGGGACCTTCAAAACAGATTCGGCTACAAAGTATGTTATCCTTGATGAGGTGGATGAGCAAGAAGAGAGTTCCTGATTTATGAAGTCATTGTTAAAAACCATCGTTCAAAAGTAAGTCACTTCATGATTTATTGATGTTGATGACTGGAATCGTAATTTCTTTGGCCAAGGCTGGAATCATCACAGACGCTTCAAAAAATCTTCTGCTTTTTTTCCTATAAATTGACAACCTTGTGTCTTGCATGATTATGATATGAATAGAAAAAGATGGATTGATTCTTGAAAGAGGCTTTAGAGTTGCTTGATATACTCTGATCCACATCCCATCACACTATAATATCTAATCCTAAATAAAAGAATGTTGTTTTCTGATGACAGTTTGGTTATCTGGTGAAAAGAACATTGCTTTAAGTACTGAAATATGCTTAATACTAACACTCCTTTTTTTCTGTTGCAGCCCCGTATGTATATTTTGAAGCTGATTGGGTGGAGAAAAGAGAGAACAAATTTCCCACATATAATAAACAATATTTTGTCTTTTATTTTGTTTCATTCATTTGACATTCTCTCTGAGATGATTCCATAGAGGCTATTGTATATTACAGAACAATAACTTGCTATTGTGTTATAATCTTGAAATTTTGGTTGGACTGTGCAAAGTTATTTTAAATGCCGGATGAATATTTACAGATTCTTATTGACTATTGATTTTTTAATTTTGTCTGGCCTAATTATGAGTTCTATGAAAATTTATTATAATACCAAGTAATAGTTTATTGTTCTTTTTATTGTTAATATATTCTTTCTGATTCTACTTTTATTAAGGGATGCGATCTTTTGGATGATTGTCATAAACGTAAAATGACGCATTTCGAATGATATAATTCATGCATAATTATTTGTAATGGAGGTTTTTTGTTCCTCAAGCAAATTTTTCTTTTTCCAATTGTTCTCCTAATAAACATGAATATGTTTTGTATTTCTTTGTAAATAATAATTATAAATTATATTGCGACGATAAAGTAAAGGACAATAGAAGAAATCATTAATTAATGCAGCATGTGAAAAAGTTAAGTTCTATACGGATGTTACAGATGAAATAAGAAGTCCACGCAGCCACGCCATCATTATACTTTTGGCACAACCTTCAATATAAATTACGACATCTCTTAACAAACACTTTTAAATAGGCGCCATAGTTTTCTTTCTGTCCCAGTAGTACGAGAGGTTCTGAACAGGTTTTCCTCTAATACAGTATCTAATTCACTCCCCGATTCTGAAAAAGAAAACAGTTAGTTAGAAACTTAAATGTTACGTCAAAAACAAAATCTAACAGCCTAATTTATCATACCCCTTTTTTAAATTTGCTGTTAGATATCTATCTGTTTATAAAGATGCTAATAATGTGATAAAAATGTGTAAGGGTAAACATTGATTAGGTTGGGTTACGTACTTATTGAACTCTAATATTACTGCAACATGTCATTCATTTGATACAATATTTTTATAAAATGACAATTATATATATAGAAACCAACATCTTGAGGAGAATAAAAGATTCAAATTCAAATTTCTCATAAAGTAGCCAAACAAAAACCTTTTTTGGGGGGGGGGGGGAGGGGTTAAACAAGTGATTTTAAATAGAATCAATGACATACAAAATTATATGCTTGATATATGAGACGACCAGATGGGAATGAAGTGCTGTATGGGACGGAGTGATATGAATAGTAAGTGCACAAAACTATTTCATTCATTAAAAAAAAAATTAGAAAAAGCATCAAAAGAGAGAGCTTGAAAGGAAGAGTGTATCCATGTGGAAATAAAAAGTGGAGGTAGGGAAGTACCTGATGGGGAATTGTATTCCAATAGTGGAGTTATATTTGGACAATGTTGTATATGGATAGTACCAGATAGGAAGTTGAACTCATAACCTTCATATATCTCTCTCAACTTTGGCAAATTAATGAGACTCAATTTCTTCAATTTGGGGAACAGGTTTTCATGATCACCAACTTCACCTTCACATCCCTTAACAACTCCTTCAAGTTCAGAGCAATCCTTTATGCGTATTCTCTTCAGTGAAGGACAATGAGACACCAGACAATATGATGAGAACACCCATTTCACTTTGTTGCATGTAGTTATCTTAATTTTCTCAAGTTTAGGGAAGCAAACATTAGAAGAAGAAAGGTGCTTGAGTGATTCATCGCAGAATAGTCCCTCCCATTCCTCGCAATAAGAAACTTTAAGTGAACACAACTCTGGAAGGCTTGTAACAATAGCAAGAGTAAAAACATTTCTCAATTTTGGGCAACTCTTCAATGTAACATCTTTAAGTTTATGGAGGCTTAAACTTTGTGTGGGGCCCTTCCAAATATATTCCAACACTTCTATATCTTTTAAATATGTAGAGCACAATTCTGAATTCACTACCCTTGCTCTCTCATTCTCGTTTTTCTGTAAATTAATTATATTCAATGGTTACATGACAATTTGAAAGATGGACAATATCTATGAGCCACATCAAATAGAACTATAAATTAACATTACGAATTAAATCCCTTTTTTCACATAATTTTAATGTTGTAATAACATAAAAATTATTTGGCAATGTGAAAGAAATTATTTGGGTAAAAATTTTAAAATAAAAGAACAAAAAGAGTTAACGTTTTATCAGAAAAAAATTCATTAATAAAAAATAAAAAATACAGATTAAAAATAATAGTAGCATTTTATCATTCATGTTTATTATTTATTATGAGAAAAGCAACAAGTTGAGCTAAAAATAATATTTGATTGTTTGTGGAAAATACTTACGTGTTGCGGACACTCCAATAATTCACCTCCAAATATCTCTCTCAATTTCGGCAATCTCCTTAGAAATAATCCCTTTAGTTTGAGAAGAGGTAGCTGCCAATTCCCATCATGTGCTGCTTCTTCATCAACAACCCTTTCCAGTTCAGAGCAATCACTTATGCCCAGCCTCTCTAGTGAAGGACAATGATGAGAAGCCATAGAATATGAGAACACCCTTTTCATTTTATTGCTTCGCAATATCAGAATTTTCTCAAGTTTGGGGAAGCAAACATTAGAAGAAGAAGAAAGATTTTCAAGTGATTCTTCACAAAATATTCCCTCCAATTCCCCACAAGAATCTACTTCTAATCTCTTCAACTCTGGAAGGCTTGTGACAATTGTAAGAGTGAAAATATTCCTCAACTTTGAGCATCTCCATAATTGAATACTTTCAAGTCTATGGAGGCTCATGCTTGCTCTCTTATTCTCTTTTTTCTGTAAAATAATTATATCCAATGATTACATGACAATCCGAAAGATGGACAATATACATGAACCATATCAAATCAAACTGTAAATTAACATTACGAATGGAACCCCTTTTTTTTCCGTATATTTTTAATATTTTAATAATGTAATCTCAATAAGATAAATTTTACTAATTTAGGCCTTCATATATTATCCACGCTGATTTGTTACAAATAAAACAGTATTGAATAATCACTTTCCATTTCCACAACAATGAGCTGGAGCGAAAACATTAATTAAAACAAAATTTGAAATAATTACTGCCCAAAATTTGATAGTAAAAACACGATTTTTTTTCAAATCAATTAAAATTTTTAACAAGAAAAAATGGGAGAATTAACAAAAGGAAAAAAATCCCTTTAAAATAGCTAAACGACAAATTTGACAAATCAAACATGTCAATTTTTACGACACTCTTCACAACATAAACCCAATCAATTTCGCACATTTGACAAAGTGGTGCACTTAGCAAAGTTAAAGAAATTATTTGACAATTTTTTTTAAAAAAAAAGAACAAAAGAAGTTAACTTTTTATCAAAATTCATCAAGAAAAAAATAAAAAATTAAACCCCATTTTTCACATAATTTTAATACTGTAATAACATAAGTTTTATTAATTTAGACCTCCATATACTATCCACACATCATTGTCTCAAATAAAACAGTGTTGGATAATTACTTTCAATTTCCACAATAATGAGCTGGCGCCAAAACATTAAGCAAAAATTGAAATAATTAGTTCCCGTTATTATATTCAAGATATATTCTTAAAACTAATATATATATTCTTTGGTAGGAAACACGATTTTTTAAAATAAATATGCCAATTTTTAACAGGAAAAGAGGTAGACTCAACAAAGGAAATTATTTAGCAATGTGAAAGAAATTATTTTGACAAAAATTTTAAAAGCAAAAGAACAAAAGGAGTTAACGTACGTTTTATCGGGGAAAAAAGTTCACCAACAAACAATGACAAATACAGATTAAAAATAATAGTAGCATTTTATCATTCATGTTTATTATTTATTATCAAAGAAGCAACAAGTTGAGCTAAAAGTAATATTTGATTGTTTGCGGAAAATACTTACGTGTTGCGGACGCTCCAATAATCTTCCTTCAAGTATGTCTCTCAATTTCGGCAACTGCTCAAGAGATAATGTCTTCAGTTTGAGAAGAGGTAGCCGCCAATCCCCATCATGTGCTGCTTCTTTATCAACAACCCTCTCTAGTCCAGGGCAATACATTATCTTCAAGTTCTCTAGTGAAGGACAATGATGAGAAGCCATAGAATATGAGAACACCCTTTTCATTTTATTGCATTTGTATATGTCAATTTTCTCAAGTTTGGGGAAGCAAACATTAGAAGAAGAAGAAAGATTTTCAAGTGATTCTTCACAAACTATTCCCTCAAATTCCTCACAAAAAGATACTTGTAATCTCTTCAACTCTGGAAGGCTTGTGACAATTGTAAGAGTGAAAATATTCCTCAACTTTGAGCATCTCCATAATTGAATACTTTCAAGTCTATGGAGGCTCATGCTTGCTCTCTTATTCTCTTTTTTCTGTAAAATAATTATATCCAATGATTACATGACAATCCGAAAGATGGACAATATACATGAACCATATCAAATCAAACTGTAAATTAACATTACGAATGGAACCCCTTTTTTTTCCGTATATTTTTAATATTTTAATAATGT